TGGAAGACAGGATCATCGCCAGCATGGTTTGATGCTGCAGCCGCTACCACAAGAGAAGCCAAAGCGAATATTCGTGCCATTGTTGTGTGAATTGAGCTGACCTCTTTCCTGTTCGGTGTAATTCTGCTTCGCCTGCGTCCTTCGTCAAGGAATATTAAAATCCAAGTCAGGTAAATAAATATATGCGTGATAGAGATAGGTAGATATATGAAATAAAAGATTGGACGAGGCCCTGCTCGTGAGTCAGTCGCTGCAAAGCAACGTTCTAAGTGAGTGAAATGACGAGAACTTTTGAGGTTCCTTGGGAAGAAAAGAAGGAAGAGGGTAACTAAGAATCTGAGAAAAAGAACAGAGATGAAAAGATGCAGAGGCACTTGGACTCCTGAATGGTGAGAGGGAATAGGAACGTAGAAGTAGGAGAAGCCCGAGGGGCGGAGGGCATAGTTTTAAATTCCTGCATGAATACGGCGGCAGAGAGGTTCCTTGAGAATCTGAGGATTAAAGGGTTTCCCGAAGGGCGCCGATATCAAACAGCCCCGATCGCTCATTTGCATAGTCCTTGCACCTGCTTGTTCCTTTTTTGGTTGGATTGAGGCGGATCTGATGAGGTCTGACGATGGTGAAGTTGGAAATGTGTCGGTGGTGTCTCATGGTCGAGCCTCTCAGTTTCGAGTGCATAGCCAACTCCCAAGCCAGGCTAGAGTCAAAGAAGAGCATGCCATCACGGCATAGCTTTTGGGATACCAAAAATTTATAGCTCTTTTTGTAATTGATTAAAGGGAGTGTGTTTGTTTTTTGTTACAGAACTTGCAGGACTTGAAGAAACCAACCTGAGCCACATACCTTGAAGATCTTGAGATTGCTGGGGGAGTATCTATCCCTTCAAATAAAATCTAGAATAACAAGATTATTTTTGTGATATTGGCGGATATGCGCACACATGAGATATGGTTTTCAGTTGTACAGTACATGCGCATATACCTATCTGGGTTTCGAGCATGGGGATGGGATGGTACAGCTTTCATCCTATATCGTCACGCAAGGTTGGCCGCTACATCGGCTGAAGTGGAGTAATTGAGATGAACCCAGATCGTGCATAATTGCCATTGCGCGCGTTTCTTAATGTCCCTTGCTACAATGGCCCAGACCCTGATTACAATCGACCGTCCCGATATTATCATCCACCCTTGGAAGACAATCCACCCCGACATCTCAATTTGATCTGGGATCCTGCTTGGTATTCTCTCGTCTTCCACTTCAGGTAACATCCCAGAAGCAGACGGCTAAAATGGCTGATGGGTTGCCCTTTATGGGACACCCAGCCGCGTGGG